CGGCGCTACTGGACCAACCCAGCAGCACCCCAGCTGCTCTGCCCCAGGCGTCCTGATTCAGCCGCTGCTGTGGACCACCACAGAATTGACCCCGGCTTTGCAAAGCCTCGGGGAAGCCGGCAGTGGAGCAGCCCAGGCGCGCCTGGGCTGCCTTGCTGCCCGAGCCCCCCCGCGGCTTTGCTCCGCGTCTTCCTGGTCTGCAGACCAGGGAGACGCGGAGAGCAGCACCCCAGCTGCTCTGCCCCAGGCGTCCTGATTCAGCCGCTGCTGTGGACCACCACAGAATTGACCCCGGCTTTGCAAAGCCTCGGGGAAGCCGGCAGTGGAGCAGCCCAGGCGCGCCTGGGCTGCCTTGCTGCCCGAGCCCCCCCGCGGCTTTGCTCCGCGTCTTCCTGGTCTGCAGACCAGGGAGACGCGGAGAAAGCCCCGGAGTACACGGGCGGCAGGACCGCGAGGTCCCACAGTCCGTGTCCTCCGGGGGAGCCCCGTTCGTAACTGCGGATCCGACATAAGTCGGATCCGCATAAGTCGGGGACTGCCTGTACTTCAAAAGTCATCCAAAGAACTCAGACATCTTTTTCAGGATGCATTTACACTGTTTTCTCTATTTTACAGAGAGGTTAATTGACCACCACAGAATAAATATGCAACTCAAGTGTGAAAAATCCATACTCCTGACAGACATACTTCACACTGACCAACTCTGCTGTGAAGATGGAGCTATGTCAATGGACTAGCTTCTCTGATTGACACAGCTACCTTCTCTCAGGGATGTGAATTTACTATGTCAATGGGAGAAGCTCTCCTGTCTACATAGAAGTGTCTTCACTAAAGCACTACATAAGCAGTTGTGCTGCTCTAGTGCTATATTTGAAGACAAAACCTAAGTTTCCCAGACCTGAAGATGACCTCTGTATATGCTCAAAAGCTCGTGTCTCACCAAGAGATGATGGACTAGCAAAAGATGTTACTTCACCCACTTTCCCTCTTGTAAGTCTGTGACTGAGTCAGCAGCACTGTGAAGAATTCCAGTTCCGCTGTTCTAATCAACAAATCACACCTTTTCTCATCTGAATGAGCCCCAAATCAGACAAACTAAAATGACAGCAAGAAACAAAGCCAAATCCACTTCACTTCTCTGTAAATGGATAAAAATCGCCACATTCTTTTAGAGGGTTGAACTGCAGAAATACTTTCTCAAATGACTTTGCCTTCTGAGCAACATCCAGTATTTAGAAAGTGAAAGGCAAACCACAATGCTATGTGGATAATTAAACAGAGCAGGAGATTTTGTTTGGTTTTGGCCCGGTATCAGGGGATAATGGATTGAGATATTGACTGTTGCCTACAGTGGCAGGTACATACAAGGCAATCTAAAGGCTTTTGTGCCTCACCAATATATTATATCCAAACAGAGTCAAATTTGGCACTGCTGCTCCCCACCCCATTCATGAAAGCCCAGTTTCCAGTTTACCAGTCAGTGCTTGAAGCCTTTGGCTGTGCTAGCTAAAAAACGCAGGAAAGCAGCACTCTGCAAAGAATTACTTCATTGTCATTCAGCAGAGGCATTAAAGGAAAGGCTGAGGAAAGTTCCTTCCAGCACTTTTTGCATATCTGCCATTGTATGTTCAGGTCGACTTTATAATCTTTCATGGATGTCAAAGTACCTTACAGTTTCTCTACTGTTTCTAACCTTCCATTTCACATCTCTTTTTCCCTCTCTTCCGCTGAAGAACCTTACAAAGCTCATTATTTAAACTTTTCCAAACGCTGCTCCTTTGTGCCACAGAATACAGGGCTACAGGAAAGCTCTTTTTTCTGCTGGCGAAGATTTTTCTTTCACAGTGTAAAGCTTCTGTCTAACACAATTTTCTTTTTCTGCTTCAGTCCAGCCCATCACTATAGACAGCTGCTCGGTGGAGAATGGAAGTCTTCAAAGCATCCAATTCCAGAGTGTTCCCGGATTTCATTAGCAAACGTTTTTGGAGACCACATCTATATATACACATCTGTGTTCTAACATCCAGTCTATGGAGTAACTGTAAAAATATATCCAGGTGGCTTTAAAATACTTTCGATGCATGCAATAATAAAGTGAGTTAAAAAAACCTACACAACATAGCCTATCCCATGAACAGATGAAGCAGGGTCCATAGCATACACGATGAATCTAAATGACAAATCCTGTATACAAGGTAATCTCTACTGCCAGATACTATGATCCCACCGAGTTTTCTGCTCCCCAACATTTCCTCCACTCATAATTACTTGGCAAGGCCTAGACTACATGTTGGAGTTGTAGCAAGACTTTAAGGAA